GCAGCAGCAGCAGCAGGGATGGAGAGAGAGCGCGCGCGCGCGCACGCGCTCGTTGTGCGCCACCTAAACGCGGGACGGCACCGCACGCTCGATCACCACCTCGCGGACGTTCTAGACTCAGACTCCGCCACTCGACGCTCGCAGCCGGTGGGATGGATGGCAAAGCGGGTGTCGACTTTTGCGTCTCAGCCTCACTTCCCGCTCCAATCTCTCCCTCTGTTCCCATAAAGCTATGCTACATTCTCATCCACGCCTCCCTTCCATTCGCCCTTCCACCACCCACAACCCACCCCTGCCTCTTCACATTCTTCGATTCCCGCACCCTTCGCCGTTCGCTCTCAGCACCGCCAGCGTTCTCAACTTGCACTCTTAGCGCATACAGCTTCAGTCGTCCGTGGACATCCGAGCTGGTCTTCAGAGGAAGCTCTTTACACCGTATACGCACAACGCTCTCGACGTCGAATTCATAAACGGTATTCCGAGATTTTGGCTATCAACGCTCCCGTAAACGAAAGCGCACCTTTTCTCGAGCAGAACATCCATCTCCACAAGGCTCGGCACAACGCGCATCCATACATAGCGGCAACGCGGACGCAGTCCACCAATCGACGCGTAGAAGCGCAACTGCAAGCCTGGCCCTACTGGCTGCCTAGCATTGCCGTGTGCATCCACCGTCAAAATGAACAGCCATCACTATGCTCAACACGCATACAACAGCGCTCCCTCATACGGTGCACAGCAGGGATACTCAGCATACAATCAGCAAGCTGGTCACCCACATCCTAGCAGCGCCACCTCGCACTATGGCCAGCAGCAACAGCAACAGCACCATTCCCAGCAACATGCTGGCCATGCAGGTCACGCGCTCTACGGTCAGCCCACTCACCATTCCCAATCCTCAGCTCCGATGCATTACAGCAGCTATACCGGCACAACCAATTCTGCCACATCGGCCGGCTCAGTGCCGTATGCGCATCACGCTGAGATCAATCAGCACCACGCGATGAGCCACCCCCACCATGCTCAGCAAGCTCAGCATTACTCTGCTCATTACGAGCATCAGCCAGCCGGCAGCTCCCACCAGCACTTTCATCATATGGCAGGCGTCAGCGGTATGCCTGCGCCTAGCTCAGCAGCTCAAGCTGGTCCAAAGCCCAAAAGACGGCAGGTCAAGAACGCTTGTGTTAATTGCCAAAAGGCTTGCAAGAAATGCGACGAAGGTCGACCTTGCTCACGTTGCGTCAAGTACGGTTTGACCGACAGTTGCCAGGACTCTTCGCGCAAGGAGCGCAAGCGCGGCATCAAACGCGGACCGTACAAAAGACGCGCGAACGGATCATCGGAGCAATCTGGTGGCCATCACCAATCACGCAGCACGGACAGCTCTAGCGGCAACGGCCGTGGTAACAACGACATGTCCAGAGGCAGCTCAGACAGCCAGCACGGCGCTGAAATGTCCAGCAGGGCCTTGGATCCCAGCACTAGCTACATGTCCAATTCCGCCTACCCAGATTCAGCACCTGGCACCATCTACCGCGGAGCGAGTCAGCTCCCACAATCGTCTATGAACGCCCCATCGACGTACGACAATTCACCAAGCCCGCACATGTATGCGCGAGAAGCCCGGTTGCAACTGCCCTCGAGCGTCTACGATCGTCGCACAGGTGTCGAGTCCCACGACAGCACCGCTACGGCGCACGCTCATCAGCACGACCGAAGCACCTCCACTCCCATCGGTGCCATTGGCCGAGCCACGGGCTCGAGTCCATTGATGCACGCAAGCGGTGCACAGGGACACTTGCCCTCGTTGAGCTCGAGCGCAAGCTCCCTGGCGTACGGTGTCGCTCACCGGCCCCAGCTATCCAGCGCCTCGTCCAACGGCTCAGGCTCGCTCTTCTCGCCGCCCACACTCTCGAACATTGCTGGCCTCGGGGGCGGGGCGTCCCAAATTTCGCCTCGTCTACAAAACACCTCCGAGTATGTGCATCATCCACCTCCTTCGACCATGGCAATGTCTGCGACGGGCAGTGCTTTCATGAACTCGGCGTCATCAAGCATCAGCTCGCAATTTCCTCTCCAGCTCCCTCAACGTGCCAAATGGTTCGAAGAAAGCAACCCTCAGCAGTCGCACTATCCTGCCTCAACCACGTCCAGCCTTGGCAATGTGACGTCGTTCGAATTGGCACCTATCAAGCCACGTAGCTACCTCGGAGCTGCTTAGGTCCAAGATGCAAGTACGACGCCTACGCGCCCAGGCTTGCTCCTCACCTTGCGAAAGCTCTTGCTTATATCCCTGAGCGTATTGAAGTTCCCGCCACGCGTTGCACCTTCTCGTCATTCATGTATGCCACCCACTCTATAACCTCGCAAAGTCGCTGCGCAACCCGTCGTCGCCTTCTCCGCCCGCTTGCGCTCATCCCGCAATCCACGTCGCAAAATTTCCCGAGCCGCTCCTCCGCTCCATGCATTTCGATTTCGTTTGCAAAGTACTTATCTATCTATGCTCGCCGACCCGCACCGGAAACCTTGTACTACCTACGCCTATCGTACTGCAGCTCCTGCGCAAGTAAATCAAATGATGCATCTTGCTCCCTCGACGTATTGCGCTGCTTGTGTGATCCGGTCTTGTGAGCGTGACGCATTGATAAGCTTTGGAGACCTTGCATGGCGCAGACCGACCATCATCCAAAAATCTCGCGATCCAAGTCGCCCAAGCTACGCTTTCTGCTCTCGCGCGCATTGATGCGCAATTCGCCATCGCGCTCGCTCTCCCACCTCCTGCCCTTCTTGCGTCTCTCTCCAAAGCTCATCTCCACTGCGCCAGTCTTTGCCTCTTTCTGCTGCGAGCTGGCTGACTGATACTTTGGATGCGCTGCGACTATGTCAGCTCCGATAGCAGCAGCTGAAGAGAGCAACTCCTTCTTGATCTTCTTGCCGTGCGCGTTGCGCTGTTCTGGGCGAGAGATGGGAGCTCGAGAGGACGTGTCTGCTGCTGGCACCTTTTCTTGCAGCGCCTTGACAGACGGATGAGGAAAGAGATCTCCCCAGGAAGCTTTGCGAGCATCGTGATATGCTTGTCTTCCTGCTGACTTTGGTAGCGTGAAGCGAGAGATGGTGCCTGGGGCGCGCAATCAAGGGTGAGAAAATGTTGACACATCAGACGAACAGCCTTTGCAACAGAGACGGAGAAAGAAAAGACATCGGTGCACTGAACACCTCTCACCTTCAGCCATACAGGCATCAAAACATACATGTCCTCCCTTCTTCAGCGGAGGCAACACAAGTCGTGGCCAGTAAAACGCTTCTCTCCTCATAGCCTCTTCATCAGCGACGCTAAAGTCCTCCTCAAGGGAGTTGAGCAGCTCCTGCTCCTCTGCTACTTCGTCGCCAGGTATTCTAGCTCTCGACAAGCGTTGTGCCACTATCTCGGTCTCTTCCGCATCTTCTGCCTCGACATCAACGTCGCGGAAAGCAACCTCTGTGGGCGCAGAAGCTGAACGTCCAGAGAGCTCATTGAAAGCGGAGAGGATCTGAGCGGAGCTGGGCGCGTTGATCTCGGCTCCTTGTGCACCTATGAATGCGTCATTGCTCCCGAATTCCTCTGCTTCTTCCTCCTGCACCTCCCTTTGAATCTCGTCGTCGTGCTCCGCAAGACTCGCAGAATCTTGCCACACGCCCTGAGCATTCGCCTGAGCCAGGGCAGCTTGGAGAGTCTCTTCGTCGACCTCTTCGCCTGCACGCGTAGCTTCTCTGCGCATGGCTGCCTCCAAAAGACTTGAAAGCTGGCTCCCATTGGAGGCACTCGACTGTAAAGTGGTGTCTCCGGCCCCAGCCTCGATCTCCGTCTGAGCCTCTAGGACGCTGGAAAGACGAGCGTCAGGATCTGCATCTTCTGAGGATGAAGGTGCGGGCGCGCTCCCTTCCACAACCACATCTGTCGGAAGGCGACTAGGGCTCCTTCTCAGCGCTTCGAGGATGCCGACCTTTGTTCTGTCCGCGTTGCCCGCGTCAGCCACCAGCTGAGCTTCTAGATTGTGAGACGAGCCCAAGGGATCCGTTGCTAGAAGCTGAGTCGTGTCTTGCGCAGTTGTGCGCTGAGGTCTAGGGCCTCTGGCTACGACGACGTACGAGTATCTGCTGTTCTCCTCTCGCCGCTTTCGATCACGGGCCACCCAGAGCGGAAGGGTGGCCCGCGCAGGAAAGGCGCAGACTTGCAGCTTCGACTTGCCACGAAAAGAAGAGTTGCCGAGAGGTGGTGGCTGAAAGTCGTGCAACAGCGGGCAGGGTCCGTCATGTGGGCACTGCGTCGACGGAGGATAGCCGCAAGAAATCAGAGAGAAAGCATCGAGTTGGCCAGCCACATTCACGGAGACTCACTGGCGCCACGACGTGCGCACCTGATGCACGTCCAGTCTCCGCGTCTTCGCCATCTTCAGCAGCTGCATTTTCGCTCTTTTGCGCGTAGAACTTCTGACCACCCAGCGTAAGCACCTCATCTTCGTCAACATTGGCCATCGCACAAGGCGGATCGTTGCCAAGAGCCAACAGTTCTTCCCTTGCGCTGGCCACGCACGCGAAACCTCTGTGATCGCCTTCTTCCACAACGAGGATCATTTGTGCTCCGGACTCCCAGATCTTCCTCAGCAGCGCCGAGCGAGCATTGTCGCTAGAAAGTGCGCTGAGAGCATATGGCAGGATGGCGAGCGTATTTGATGGGGCAGATGAAGAGGTCGACTGCACAGCAGCATCGAAACTAGCTTCTTGCTCCTCCTCATCCGCATCCCTAGCTGCTCCGCGCTCACGTCTTCCAAAAGCCTGCGCATTGCTTCGGGTGGAATTAGTGTGGAAACGAACCTTCTTTTCTTCTTCGAGCCTTCTCAGCGCGTGATCTTCTGGCAGATCGCGCAGCAAGCTGGAGCCGAGTCTGGCTAGCGGACCGTTGGTGAGCCCTTCGAACCTCTGTACAGCGCCTGGCCAAGCATTCTCCACCGCCCACAGTCCTTCTCCGACTCCTGCGTTGTAATCGAATACGGTTGCCGGAGTCCATCCAAAGGGTCCGCCTATTCTAGAAGCCAGATCTTGTGTGAGGGTGAGCAGTGTGGCATATCTCACCGCAGAATCTGCCCCTGCAAGGTGCGAGTGAGCAGACAGAGCGCCTGCTCTGCGCTTAGATCGAGGAGAGATCGCTTCTGGCGTGGCTTGTCTCCAACCGGCTATGGCTTCTACAAGGTCTGACGGAATAGCAGCGGCTCTCTGAGGAGACAATGTTCCGAACCTCGAAGCTCTGCTCCGCCTCCTCTCCCTCGAGCTCAATGTAGATCCGCCACTCCTACTCGCTTCCTCATCCTCGGTCATGTTGAAGCGTGGACCGGGAGGGAGCGCTCGTGATGAGGCTGATGGCGCTGTGATTGCCGCTGCTGCTGCTGCATGTCGAGCAGAGACCAGCGCAGCCGTCATCATCTCCTTCTGAGCGGCAGACATGTTGGGGGCCAAAGTAGCCTATTTCGGTGATTCAAAGCACCGATTTCCAAGGATGTTGGAGCTGAATGCTGTCTCTCGAGCCCTTGGAAATGCCCTACACGACAGAGACTGCCCGCTATTGGATGGCTGGGGAAGATGGCGTGAATGGAACAAGGTGGACTTCGAACTTGGTCGACGAGTCGTCGTTGGGAATGTCTGCTGCTTGCCTCCAAACCTTCCAATTTTCTCGCATTCCTCACGAGCAAATCCCCGCGCGCAGCTTACAAATTCGAAAAGTCAGAGCGCGGAGCGCGGGGGGCCAAAGCAATTATTAATGCTGTAGAGTGCAGTTACCAGCGGTAGGCATATCCGCGGAGTTGCGCACTCCCACAGCGATGCATCCGCGCTTCGATCGGGATTCGCGCGCTCAGCTTCTCCCAATCTTGAATGCCGATGATTGAAGCGCTACACACAAGCAGCCAAAGGGTTAGTCTTGCGCGACGACCGTCAAGCCAAGACAAGCTATAGTCGCAGAAAGCACGTGTCATCATTGCACATAGTACAGGATTGGGGGGAGTTAGCGGACAAAAGAGGTGTGAAGATAGGTAGGCCACGAGCTAAAGAAAAGTGGTTCGTAATCGCGCACATCAGTCGATGCAAAATTGTCCATTGTGGAACACCCGTTGTGTATTTCCGACCTTTTACCCGTGCGGCAATCGTGAATGCCGAGGGCTGCAACCTCGGTCTCGTACCAAGTAGGTGCAGCAAGGCTAAGCTCCCTTCCTGAGCACTCAGTACCGTTTCTCTTGCCCATATTGCTGCTGCCCCCGACCTCCATATCCATCATTATAAGCGTTTTGATGAGAGTAAGCCCCGTGGGCATTACTCTGATGTTGCCCCGGTGCTGCGTGAGAGTCCTGATGGTAAGCCGACTCGTACCCAGGCGGTCCATGTCCGCCATCTTGATGGCCTTCATACGTATCTCCATGCTGAGCCGAAGTATACGTGCCGGCCGCATCGTATCCACCATATGGGTCCGCCTCTGCTTTTCGCTGATTTTGATGGTGTTGAGCGTGGTGCTGTGCATACGCAGCTTCAACAGCGGCTCTGTGCGCATCATCGTGTGCCGATGCGGGACTCGTCACCATATCAAAGTCGGTCAGATGCGAAGGAGCATGCGCATGACTCGTTTGCGACTTGGCTGCTGCTCCAGCCTGCAGCACCGCCAAGCCGAATCCATCATCGCCTGCAGTTCCGCTAGCCTGTCGCTTATCGTCGCCGACAGGGATGGTCGGCAGGCGCCGAGAACCTTGAACGCGGGATGGCGATCGTCCGGTACTGGCACCAGCTGCGTAATAATTTTGATCCCGACTTGGAGATACAGCATGACCATACTGTGCCTCTGCTTGCGCGTCAGAGGCGCCATAGGTATTTGATGGATCCCTGTAGCTCACCGTGCTACCAGCCCTCTCGGGCATGCCTCCAAATGTTCCTTCGTTGGGGTGCTGAGCGTTGGGCCATGCGGAAGTATAGCCTGCATCATCCATGGTCGGCTGCCGACGAGTGCTTTCGTACGCAGCGTAGCCAGCAGCGCCAGCAGCAGCGCCGGCGGCCAATGCATGATTCATGCTACCATCGCGCTCAAGCCCGTCTCGGTAAGGTTGTGGTCCCACACCAGGCGTGTACGTGGGCTCTTGGTAGTGCGATGCAGCTGCTGACGAGGGCGCCCGCTGGGGCGGCGGGGTAGAGTGGGCACCATACCCAGCCATGCCAGGATTCGGCACATCGCTGAAATCTCTTCTGGGTGCAAAAGAATGCGCGTTCGGTTGCGCGTAAGCGTGCGTTGGCTCGTTGCTTACGTAGCCATGCTGATTGCCATAGCCGGCGTACGGGTCATGGAACTGGTGTTGCTGCTGCGGGTACGGTTGGTAGCCGTATCCGTTCGCATGAGAGGAATCTTGATGCTGTTTCAGAGGCTGCTCCTCTTCGATCTCCTGCTCGTACACAGCAAATTTGGGCAGGGAATCAGACCCGGCAAGCTCCTGTCGCCGTTGTCGGTCTTGCTCGGCTCGCAGAGCGTCCATGCGCATTCTCTCGCCGTAGTTGTCGCCGACAAAGCCACCATTGGGGCCAGGCTGGCCGTAGCTATCTTTGAGCTTGTCTTTACGACCACCCTTTCCACCGCAACAGGCCCCACAGCCGAATGCGCAAGTAGACAGGAACAGACAGACCCACGCTGCCAATGTCAACCATACTGTGCCATCCCGGACACCACGAATACGCGTCAGATGGATGCGTAGAAAGGCCAAAGATCGTTGGACGTAAAGCCGAACTCACAAGCAGCGCCGAGCGAAGCTGAGCCTCCCGTCGACTCGATCCTCTTCTTCGCAATGATGAAGAGTGCGCAGTCCAGGCCAAATGCAAGGACTGTGATACCGGCTGCGAACCCAGCAAACAGGCTGGAGCAGCAGCCCGTCGAGTACGTCCGGCATAGGCTGAACAGCCCGAACACGAGCACTATGAGCGACGCAGCAAGGGCTACTGGATGAAGGATCAAGGTGTACGTTAAACCCTTGATGACTGTACTGCTCCAATTCTCTGGGACGAGGTTGGGCACATCAAAGATGTCCGAGTCTGCGTATATACCAAGGCGCATACGAGGGATCGACATCAGCCTGGACGATCAGCCTCTCGAGCGACAATGCCTAAAAGACCCCTCACCAAAGCTGTAGCCCAGCCTTGGACTGCTGCAAGTATTACCGACGCATGCCCCCAATGTTCCTAGTCGAATATGTCTGTTCGATCCGCTCGCTGTCGCATCCAGGAAGCTCAGACTCTTGATGACGGGCGTAGAGCAGGTGGCCAGGGCGAGGCAGACGACTGCCGCTAGTACCAGGATGGTCCCAGGCAGTCCCGACCTCATCCTGGCCTGTAGATCTCGTCGATGCAGGGGAGTGTGAGCCTCGGAGCGGAGGGAAGGGGAAATGTTGATGATGATGCTTGATGGCGTCAAGAGCACGCCGTATTCAGTGCTCTAGTGAGCTTGGGCAAGGACCGCTGCGATTGGAGAGGATGATGGTAGATGTTGCGATGAATGCCGATGCCGATGCCGTTGCAGCAGCAGCAGCTGCTGCTGCTGTGTGGGTGCGCAAGGTATAAAGACACGCGCGCGCAGGCGCGTATGCATGCAGCAGTCTGATGAGTGTGCTGCTTGGTTTCGGCGACGCAAGCGAGAGGCATGCAGCGAGGCAGCGAGCGCAAAGGGGCCGAGGTTGCTTCCGCGCCCACGCACAGCTAGGCCGGGTGAAAGGGTCGATCCCTTTCCCTTTGCGGATCAATCACGAATGTGAATGGGCGCGCTTGCTTTGAAAGGAGGTGAGAAGCACGCGTACGTGCTCAAGAATCAAGATACAAGGGATCACGATGTGCACGGTACCCATGGCATGCATAGGCGACATTCGCGATTGTGATTGTGATCGAGTGATCCGTCGCGCTTTCGTACAAAGGCGGCGGGGCGGGCGCCCTTGCTCTCAAAGCACAAAGCCTCGTTCCACTTCACAACGACGCCTATACGCCCAAGTGCCTCCGCGCCCTACAACGCATAAAGTGCAAGATCCCCAAATCATCCACTCGTCACTGTGACTGTTGACTGCCCGAGGTATGAAAAGGCGGCAGGCAGGTGGAGTGCGCCGTCCACGGTGCGCATCCACGCACCATCTGCCATGCAGTCTCTTCACCCTCCCTCCATGCCTAACCCGTGTTCACCGTTTTTGAGCAGACTACAGGGCGCAAGAAACACGGCGGCACTCGAAATTTCGGCGAATTCCTCTTTCTCCGGCTCACTCATCTCTTGCTCATTCCATACCACCCGGACTCATGACGACTGCTGCAGAGCAATGCTGCATCAAACAACGACCCACAATCCACAATCGTAAATTGAGGGGGCCAAGCGCGTGTGCATTGCGGTCATCTGATTCTGACTTTGTCATGCAAATTGATATCCCCGCCGTCCTTCTCAAGAGGGCTCAGGCTCCCCGCCGCTATAACAGCAGCACTTCATGCGCATGCGAATCACAATGAAGATGTATAATAATAATAGCGTTCACGACACGATGAGTGGTCCGATCGAGCGTGATCGCGCGCTTGCCGTGGGCGATGAGCCAGTCTCCCTGCGCGCCGCGGCGGGATTCCGCGGCGCTCTCCCACAAGCGGTGTCGAACTGCAGCACAGCCTCATCTCGTCTTCATCACCAGCAAGCCTGCACATCTCCCAGCTTCGCCAATTTCCTGGCGCGACCATTTGGCCGAACTTTTGACGTGGCCGCTTGACCGACAAAGAGCCATCTCGAATGGTCGCTTCCCTTCTTGAGTGTGTTTCCATGTGCCTTTCACGGAACGCAAGCGGTTCGAGTGGATGTCGGCAGATATTACACGCGCATTCGCTCATGCACGATTGGTCCTGGCCAATTTGGTGTGATGAGGGGAGTTCAACCTTTTCCATAATCCCCGGCTCCTTGCTTTTCAAGGTACCGCGCCTGCTTTG